CATCATCATCATCATCATCATAATCATAATAACAATGATAATAATCGCAACCTAAAAAATGCAAGAATTGCGGTCTTTTTTGCAATCATTAGTATAATGTTTTGGTTTGATTTCAGATTTGCAACATCGACAGAAGAGAAAAAGACGCTGTCATAATAGTCTTTGAACAGACGTTTTCACTGACATCAGTGACGTGATGTTAATATGTTTACATTACACTTCTCTATAGATAAAGGATACGGATTGTAAGATACTGTTATCATCCAGTTTAAAAGCGATCCTTCAATGTTCTTGGATTAGAGAGATTCTAAGCCGATGTTTAACTAGTCGACATCATTAAAGTCAATGTCATTTTATATTTCTTTGCAAATTTTGGAAGCTTCGAAAGCATGTAACCCTTGTTCCATTAATTGTCCAGTAATTAATAGTCTAATGTAATTTTCATTTTGCTTTCCAGTCGCAAAATTGTCTCATGTTGTTAGGAAAGCTATAACAAGGGCCAGTTTCAAGATACTGGTGACATTGAGCAACAACCCTAACCCTATCTTATCAAGCCACTGTCGGTTGTCACCAAACTCTGTCGAAGCGGAATGCTCTACATGGCCAGTCTATGCTGCCATTTATGACGAGTGTTTGAGTTAAAGTTCAATAAATAATACCATCTAGGGGACATTTAAGGTGACAAGCAAAGTATTTATATCGATATTGAAAGTTTGAGTTTTTATGTCAGGGGTAAAGAATTTTATAAAAGACAGACATAAGGTGAACTACAGTAAAACCACGAAACAATAAAATATATTAAATAAAATATGATCATAATAAAATAAGGCAAACTGAGGTAAAGAGCAAATAATAAATAAAGGCTTTTTTAAAAAAATATTTTTGAGTAATCCTTTTCCTGCTTTGTTTTGTGTTTAATTCGAACTGAGTACTACGTTATTTCTTTGTAGAAAGAGAAAAAAATTGCTATTTAATAACGTTAAATCACAGTTTTTTAGTTGGACCCGGGGGTTACTAAAAAAAGTTTCAAAAGGGAAGGCGCCGCCTCGAGGTCCAATCCTTTGTCTTTTTTTATATACCATTTTTCACACTACAACAACAACAAGCTTTATTTGCATGACCATACATGTACATATAGTATTGCAAAAGCTACTTAAAGAGAAAAAAACAGAAAAACTAAAATTTCATCTTATTGCAATTAATTTACTTTGCTAACAATTTTTTACACAGTTGTTCCCCTTTCGTGTACCTTCTATTGACAAAATGGTACCCCTTTCACATGCGTAGTGTAGACCTTTACATTCCTTTAAACTGCTGTTAATGGACTGTTTTGAAATATGAATAAATCACAAAACCAGGTTTATTCTCGACTTTTTCACAGCCATAAATTGCATCTGTTAGCCCTTTAGGGACTTTTTATAGAACGAAATTTACTTCTAATAGTGATATCCCGACCCTTTATCACCTGGACCGGGTTGTTCGAAGCTGCGTTAAAATAACCCAGGGTTAGTGCAAAATTTGAACTCAGACATGAGAGCTTAAAAAGAAAATTCAGTTGAATTCTCTTTGCCTACAATTTGATGATTGGATACTCTAAAAAGAATAGATAAAATTATCCGAGAGAGTGCTTTTCATAAAAAGATAAACCATTCCGCGTTAAAATTTAAGTCCAGGTTAGCGTTAACCTGCGTTCGAACAACTGGGCCCAGAAGCCTGAAAAAGTACCTCTTTCGGGCGGACTCTCTATGTACATGGAGAAACTGATCGGGCGTTGCATGATAGTTCCTTGAAAGGAACTGCGCAGCAAAGAAAGGTGCAGGTCGACAATTATTTAGACCCGTTATAGTTAAGCTGGCGTAAACTGTTCGTTTGTTAATTCTTCAAAAAGCAAGCAATACCTTAGACGACCGTCGCAGGACTCTCACAGGGAAGTAAAATTTAATCTCAATGAAGCTAGACCGTAGAACAGGAAAAAAAATCAACTAAAACAAAATCATTTCATCAGTAATCAGTTCATGATCTTAGAAAAAGAAAATAACCTTAATCCACCTACACTTGTGCGTGTCGCTTTTAGCCATTTATTATTTATATAATAAGCGACTTTACATGTTTTTGTTTTCCATACAGGTGACTGAATTTTTGTTAGTATATTAAAATGCAAAGAGACAAGAACTTAATATGGCCATGATACAAAGAGAGCATATCGCCTCTGTGTTTCATGTGGGATATTTTTCAGCTGCGCTTAGATCCTTTATGCACTGGTGTAAAAACTCAACGTCGAAATGATCGCCCCTGGTTCTCTGTTAAGGCTTGTTGCTTTGATATTTGTTATTACTGACGGTATCGTGCACGCGAGACATTTAAAGGTGCATTCTAAAGGTACACATTCAAGCGGACAGAAGAAGAAACAATTGGAAGGTGCTAACACAACTTCTCAATGCTCTAACTCGACTGCCCATGAAAATTCGTGTATCCCTGTTCATATTCCTGTTCCTGTGCCCGTACAAAGTCCCGATGTAAACGAACTGCACGTCTACATCCATGATGGTAGGTCATTAAAGGTACGATAACTTATAACGAAAACAAGAAGTAGTGTGATAGAGTGCTTCCAACATATATGAACGCTCCTCCTTTGTACTCTAAAATTTATTTTCTTTTGTCACCTTTGATGTTCACGTGGTGTTTTATTATGCGTTTATTTTGCCACGGTACTTATAATAAATAGTTGCAAACCTGCCTGTTTCATCTGCATTCAAACGAAATGACTCATTTCCCATATGACCTGAAGATCGAAATGCAGCAGACTAAAATTTTTCCTTGAAATATTTAATATTTGCAATAAATATAATTTTCACTACTAAGTTATGACAAAAGATGTTTTGTCTTTAGCGTCAGACAAAGAGGGTGCTAACATCTCTTTGTCTAAATACAACTACCTATAAATTACGATTTCTGTTGACTTATTTAAAGGACAATGATTAGAACCGTTTACCAAAGACCTAAAATCAAGTGTGTAAAGAAAAAGAATGCTTTCAGAAATTTGATTTCAAATTGTTTTCTAGGTGAAAGTTATTATTTTATTATATGAAGTTTTTTCTCCTCGACTTATTTAAATGTCAGTCGTGGAGGAACCAGTTTTACCACCCACTGAAATAGAATGGGTTGAATTTACAAAGCAGGTAAAAAGTTCCGAAAAAAAGGTTCGAATAAAAACGTTTCTTACTCAATTTTTAAAGTATCTGATATAGAAATTGGAATTGATAATTCACATTTAGGAAACGTGTGATAAAGAAAAAAAAACCAGTCGGTGTAAAAAGTAACTGAAACTTTTGTTCCGTTCACTCAGAAAGTAAGAGGTGATGTCAAGTACGATGCCTTTGTGAAGCATATTCCCCAGGGGGAAGGGGCGGGGAAATTCCCATACAACAAAAGGACCTCTCGACACTATTGTCTATATATTGAGGTTAGAGAATTGGAAATGGCTTTTGCTTTCAGGAAAAACTTGCTTCTTTTACTAAGAAAAACTTACTATCATGGCAATTTTTTGTTTAAGGTAATCACTGCAAGAACGGAGGCATCATGACAAAACACAAGAACCACATCTTCAAGTGTTTGTGTCCTCCCAAATATGGAGGACCTCTCTGTGAAGGTGCGACAAGAATTGTAAGCTGTAACAACCTTTTTTCATTTATCCTGGGCAATACAAAACCAATTTTTAGGTGACAATTTTCTCAGAAAATGATATATTTCTTTGATATATATTTCTTTGGTAGACAATTCAAGGGGCCATAAAAGTTATGTTCACAACACTTTCGCTAATCTAATTTGCCAGAAATGAACAACATTTGAACAGATATATTAAGATCAATAACGACAAGGCGACGGGTTCAAGTCGTCACAGAGGAGCGTGCGCATGTGCCAACTGTGAATATATCACACATTGGCGCTTTTCAGCAATTAGGGTTTTCCGATTTAGCGGAAGTTCGAGCCATTTTTTATGAGATGTGAAATTGATTCCATTATACTGTAAAGGGTCATCTCGAATTTTTTTCGCTTCAAGTGAATCTTTGCATGATGTCATTGATTATGCTGGATGATATCCTGGGCAGGGAGGGAATCTCTCTCGACATCTAATTTTTCTTCATTAACCTGCGATCATGGGCGGTCCTTAGATTTTCCCATTTTCTTTGGGCGGCCTGATCGCAGGCTATTTCTATATTTGCTACGTCAAACGTAAATAAGAATCGTTTTCATTGTCTCATCGAGTGCCATATACTGATTCGATAATTTATAAACAGAAAAGGAACAACATTGTATATCTTCTCTCCTACAAATTGGGAGACGCCGTGAAGTCTCCAGGCATCTCTCGCAATTTTGTCTACTTATGGATATCTATTCGACTCTGTGCATTTTGTGGGTTAGGGTGAGGGTTGAAAACTATGGCAAAAGCTGAATAAATTAATACAAACGGTAGAATGTGCAATCATAGTTATTGGTGCAATCCAACTAACTAAGCGAATGCAAATACTTTTTGACACTGGTGCGAAATTCCATGAGTTCCCGCAAAGGTGCGGGATTGCAGAAGAAAGCCTCATATATGACAACTTATTGAATAACAAAAGAATACCAAAGCAGCACATATGTTACATGCATATTCTTTGAAAAAACACACATTTTAAGCTAGTTCAAAATGAAGGTTTAAACAAATTAGGCTGAGTACCTGCTTAGTTTTGATGGTAGAAAGAATAGCATTAGAAACATTATCACCTTCCATACTTCAGCACCTTTGTTTCTGAGAGTGCAAAGCCCCACTTTCACGGTGTATTGTGATTTTTGCTTGCACTATTTAAGTGCCGTGATTTGTTGGGGGCTGAAGAGGAATATTCCATTTTTTTCTCGTCTTGAGACTGTAAAGAGTTGGCCATGTGAATTACTTCCTTGAAACCTGATTTTCTTGGTGAATCGAATTATATGTAACTTTGTAAGAATAATATAAAGTTGAGCACTGCAATTGCATGGTATCGTGAAGTGAAGTTATAAACAGCCCAGCAATTTACTTACAGTAGTTGGTGTTAAACTAATTTCACGTATAGAAAGGCTAGAAATTGAACTTATTTGAAACTGGCCAGTTCCACTTCCGCAGAACTTCCGCTAAATCGGAAAACCCTATTGCATCTTTCACGTAAAATTTGGACAAATTTTTATCGTGCGTGTATCCAACAAAAATTGTCGAAAAGAATTCTCACACCAAAAATGCTTAAGCACAGTGAGCGCGTCCAGAACACGTGTAACACACTAAGTAGTCAGAATAATGTTCAGATTAGACGTCTCGGATTCTCATTTAAACATTTACAAGCCTACATAAGTTAAGCCTTACTAAAAGATGTACCAGCGCATCATATGGCAATTGCACAAGTTTGAAGTCTGTCTAGGAGAAGGGGAATTCTCATTGTAGAGTCAAGTGTCATAAATGACTGAAAAATGAAAGGGAGCAAGCCCAAGTTTTCGTTACTGAGAGATTTCTGTATCTTAAAGCTTGTCAAGATTGAGCAGTAGATTGTTGACGCAATGACTGAATCCTCTACGAATTTAAGCTGGAAAATTGATAAAATGTCAATAATAATAACAAAATATATGTATGGTTTTAACATTAGTGTCCATTAATATAACTTTCAATCATTGTGCTCTTCTTTGGTGCAATTACTTCTTTCAGATACACTATTTTGCTACTATAATCCTTGTAAAAATGGAGGCACGTGTGAGGAACATGGAATAGGTTATAAATGCAGGTGTACACCAGGGTTTGAGGGACAAACTTGCGAAGGTGAGGACATCCCTTCCATTTATAGCTTTGTAAGAGTATTCACATTTCATCGAAATCATATTTATAAGTTTGTTTATTGTGAATAGGTCTTGCAACATCCATGATTAGTGCAAGAATAATTACATTTATTTACTTCTTAGAAATCGACCAAATGATGATTTGTCTATTTCTTTTTCTATCACAGTTTTCCTTTCATCGTAGATCACATGTCAAACAAAATTTCGCCATCAATACTATTTGAAACATGCATGTCTTTTGTCAAAACGTTGGTGTCTTGTGTAATGATCCGTTTGTTAACTCAACAGAACAGAATTTTTGCAAGCCCAACCCTTGCTCCATCCATGCTAAATGTGTAGAGACTCAAGACAGCTTTAAGTGCATCTGTGAAGAGGGTTATAAAGGAGAGAAATGTAAAGGTAAAGATATACTGTTTCATAAATGGAAAACAGTTGAATCCACGATTTCTGCTATCATCTTGACCACAGTCACCATCATCATCATCATCATCGTCATCATCGTCGTCGTCGTCGTCATTAAAATCATCTTCAACGGAATATTTAAGGACGGGTTCTACATTCTGCTCAGTTTCTGGCATCTTGAGAGATTTCTTGTAGAAACGACCTGATTTGCTTTTCAGGCGGCTATCCTTTCCTAATCATTACCTGAGATGGCTCGCAAGGATTTCATTTATGTTTGCTGCTTTCTTTTTATCCACACGATGTACAAGTTTGTAATTGTACTATCACATTTCTTTTGCTGCAAGATGACTGTTTGCTGGACAGGCTTTACCCCTTTTTTTTTCAGTTATTATTTCTTTTATATTGGCCTGTTGACCTTTGTTCCATTACTATCCTGTGACATTAAGGGTGGCGATAGTGTTTCGTTTCAATCTTATATGCCTGGATATATGATAAGGGTTAAGTTACAGAATAATGCGGGCTGGAGAGAATGTATCTAAGAAAACCCAGACTTCATGTAAATCCTTATGGGCGTTTATTAGGGCTTGCACAATTCTTATACTGTAGACCCTGATGAAAAATTCTGAAAAAATGTCTGTACAATTTCTTTCAGATATCGATCCATGCAACCCAAATCCCTGTCAAAACGATGGAATATGTAAAGACGTACAAGGGAAAGTCCAGTGTGAATGCAAACCTCCTCATAAGGGAACATTCTGCTCAGGTCAGTTTCTCGTCACAATAGCGTGGGACGCCTCCTACATACCACTACTTGAAGCCATCGTTTGTTTAAATTTTGTACAAAATCGCAAGATTTGCATAGCTTCGTAGGACAAGGGAATGACTGTATCAATTCACTAAAAGTGTACAGTTAGTGAATATAAGATTAACTTATGGTAACCATATTTCAAGTCTCACGAGTTATGAAATACGGTCATGTCCAACTATTTGCAAGGATTCTTGAGACAGACTTGAAAATATAAGGATGTTTTCGAAATAACTCGGACTAGTAACTTCATGCACGGGTCGGACGCATTTATGGGCAGGTGCAGCTGTAGCCTGAGTGTTTTGCTATCATGCAAACAGAAGTTAAATTTGCGCCACTGCAAAGAAAGTAGTCTTAAAGTTTGTATAAAATGGTGTCTTAAATATTTGTCTATTATTATTTCCTCAACAATATTATATAGGGACAGTCAATCAATAATTCAAGCCTTAAATGAAGCTATAGTATATAAATTTGTCGTATTGGTTGCATTTAGACGGAATCCATCAGGAAATTGAGTAATTTTGATTTTAAATGGACAAAAACCTTGTACCAGAATAATTTAAAGCGCATTGCATTCTTTTTTACATTTTCAAGGGCTATAGATGTAACTAGTCATGTGTAATAACACCAAAGAAAATTTCTTATGGGGACACGAGATAATAAATGTCAAATTTAACAAAATAACAGGTTGCACATGAAATTTTCAGAATTTTACCTGTGTTTTCACAATCGTAATGAAATTTGGCATTCATTTTCTCGTGCTCCCATAAGGAATTTTCTTTGGTGTTATTACAGGTACCAAGAGAGGATAAAGGGGACAGAGAAGGCATCCCCCATACACACCCTATTCCATAGGTAATTCGTCACGAGATATTTTTAAGACCACATATCCCAAGGGGGATTAGACAACAGCCAACCACATAGCGCGAATGTGTTCCGCGTGGATGACCCACGCTCAGAGCCACGCGTCCTTCACGAATTGACGCAGAACAAAATAGCGGAAGACGCGGAGAGCGATATTGCTATTCGTTTTGTCGACGAAAACGACTACAGAGAGATTTCTGCTAAAGATGTGTCAGCGAAATGGAAATTAAAAAAGAATCGTCGTTCCTCTCTTGTATAGAGCTAACAGTACAGCAGGGAAATCCTTAACACACTGAAGATTCTCTCAGGATCATTTATAATTTACAGTTTGAAGAGGGCAAGTTCTGGTTTGATTTATTCTTTTATTAGTCTTATTATTCAACAAAAATAACACTTGGCGTCCTACTTGCTTTATTGTACAAACGACCGGTTTCAATAGACCGGCGAAATTTCTCATTTTATTAAAGCACTGAGGTTACGACAACTTCGAGTTAAACTGATTTCACGGGTTGTCAAAGAGTCTTGCGATTCCCTTTTCCCAGGTGAGCGCCTGACTCATTTCAATTTTCAGGAATGCTCTCGATCTCTTTACGCTTTCATTGCCTTTCGCCCTTTCGCACGGCGTTTAGTCGTGCGAAACCTCCACGAAACATCCACGCAGCGCGCGAGGTAGCTTTATCCCAATTCTAAAAATAACTCGAAACGATTTACCTATGGAATAGGGTGTGTATGGAGGATGCCTTCTCTGTCCCCTCTATACTTTCTTGCAGGTACCTAATTACATCTATAATCCTTGAAAAATGCAAAAAAATAATGCAATATTCTTTAAATTATTCTGGTACAAGGCTTTTGTCCACTGAAAATTAAAATTACTCAATTTCCTGGTGGATTCCGTCCTAATTTTCTGTATCCTTTATTTAATCACAAGAGACACTTGTATGCTATCATAACCCTTGTCATCATGGTGGTACTTGTGTGGAGAATCCACTGGCACCTTGTGTCTGCCCAAATGGATATATCGGCCCTCACTGTGAAGGTAACATCTTAGGCCAAATCTTGCTTTGAAGCAACACCAAACACCCGAGAGTAAATAAAATCTTGTATCCAATTCATTTGTGTGTCCTTACAGGTACGTACGCCTATAAAACTGTTGAATCTCGATTATCCGGATTCGTTGGGACTTGAGCAAATAGTCCGGATAATGGCCATGAAAAATATGAATATCAATGAGGCAATAATGAGACGGGGAGAGGCTGTATGCGCAAGATATATTCAAAATGCGTGAATATAAGAAAACTGTGAAAACAAACGCTAAATGAAGTACGCACAAGTCCTGTGCGGATAACAAGGGTAGAATCAGGAACAAATACGAATTTCGGTCAAAGAAAACTTGCCGGCTCGAAAAATATCATTCTCAATACATGTGCAGGAACATATCACGTGGTCAGTAAGGCTCACTGGCGCAGAGACAACCTCATCTCACTTAGAAATCATTTTGGTGCGAATACAAATGGACTATCATTTTTCCTAAAACAATTTATAAAATGACAGTATTGAACCAAAGAAACCGTCCATTTTTGTTGAATTTACAAAGGTGCTACGTTTAATGAAGAAACGCATCAACAAAATTTTCTTAGTTAAAGTTACCTATTAACCTAGGAAATGCCCTATACCCGAGGCCAATAAATTTACCATGAAGTTATATGACGTCACAGTATGATTTCATTATATCACTAATGATGGCCTGCTTTGCTTTAGATCACGTGTGTCACCCGAACCCGTGCGTCCACGGAGGGAGCTGTCAGGTTGAAAACAACACTGGGTACCAACGATGGACTTTCAAATGCGAATGTCCACGAGGGTTTACTGGAAAACTGTGCCACAGTATGTAACATATCATGGGTAACAAGCATTTCTTAGGATTTTAGGGTTCGGTCTTCCCCTCTCTCCTCAGAAACGCTTGATCGCCGATAATTACCAAACTGATTCTACAAGAAGACCTTAATGTTCACATCGATGATTGAACTTTTTCAATTTTGATGAATATTCCCCATGAGGTTTTCTTAGATAGTGTCATTTGTTATAACAGAAATATTTATTGCAATCATTATCAGCAAGATTGAACTACCAGGATAAACTCATTCTTTTCTCGAGGGTTATCCACTAACACTAAAGAGACGAGCTATCTATCGGTATACATGGACAGTAAGCCGAGAGAATCTAGTCTGTGGTGACGAGGATGCGAAGACAGGCAGGCATGTTCATAAGAAGCTAAAATATTCTCATTTTTTTATTCGCAGTTCCGCATCCATGTTTAGACTTTGTTTGTTTAAATGGTGGAACCTGCTTTGACGGAAAAACTACTCAAGATGTAGCTACAGACTTAGAACTGACTTCTCGACCCTTGATGAATGCTGTCTGCCACTGTCTGCCTGGCTTTACAGGGAAGAGATGCGAAAGTATGTAAACTGCATCTCGAAAGTCTTGCTTGTATTGGAATCGTTCCTGAAATTGGGATAAGTGGGTTGTATGTATCACTGAATAGGGCAGAAAATTTCCGCAAAAAGTTGTGAATAACGACAGGAGCCGACTGGAGGCTGCCAATGGTAAAACAACTGCAAGTTGTTAAAATAATAACAGGAAGTATATCAGTAAACTTTGATGGGTTGAAGAAGAGAGAAAGCATTAACAATCGAATTGATGGTTTTCCTGTGGTGCAAAGGTTTTTAATTTTTTACTTAAGGGAGATGGCGGCTTACAACAGTTTCTAACAGTATTGCACTGACGTAGAATCTTTGTTTTGTAATGGTAGTCCCTTTAAGTGGTGGTATTCTACGAGAGGTTGTCGCACACAAAGGCCTGTGTTCAACCTCCCCCTGAGTTTGAGTGGGGAGGCGGCTGTATACATGCTAGAGGGATAAGGTCGTATTGTCCACATGTAATCTGCGATCAGGTGTTATTTTAGAGATATAGGGAGGGTATGACCGAAGGCTAATCCACATGTTAGCGAAATAAATGTAGAATAATTTTTGATTATTTGGTTTCTTTCGCTTTTTTAGCCAAAATATGTGACATGTGCCACATAAACGCTACCTGCATCAATAACCGTTGTGTATGCAACGCCGGTTTCATTGGAAATGGATTTCAATGTTATGGTAAGCAGAGTATTATACACGGTGTGAAGAGTACATTTTTTCAAGGTAACACGGTAGACGCAAAGAATGACCCACTGTTTTGAAGACAAATTAGGGCCTGTTTACATGAAGGTGGGGGACCCCAGGTAGGTGAGGTAACATGTGGCGGGTTATCCCACCTAACATGTAAACGAGATCACATTAAAATGAGAGACTGTATGGACAGGCGGGTTACCCCACCTAAGCGGGTTACCTCACCTACCTGGGGTCCCCCACCTCCATGTAAACAGGCCCTTAGACATACTAGACAAAAGGAATTTCTTAATTTCGGAATTTTGTTTCTGTTACCGTAAGGTGAAGGTGTCGTCTTCTCACGAATTTTAATATGCTAAGGTCAAAAATTAACTAAAGTTATTGAGTAACAGTTGGCGAGACTTAATTGTGCACCCAGTTCTTGCTACTGATTGATTTACTTCCTCCCCTTTATCAAACAGATGATTAACTAATTTCTTATATATTATTATGTCTTCTGTGTTTACTCATTTCAGAAATCGACGACCCGTGTAAGCCAAATCCTTGTAAGAATCTGGGAGTTTGTACTTTGGGACCTGACAGGTCTTACACATGTGAATGTAAAAAGGGATATTGTGGACCACACTGTGAATGTGAGTTAAAAATTTAATTTTTAAATACATTTTATATGTTCGTTTTATACATTGTAAACTAATCGTCTTGATCGGTTAATTGGACAAGTGAGTCCTTTAGTTTTTTGTGAGAAAGTAAATGTGCCGCGATTTTTGTCACGTTCAACGATAGCGTACAACACTGTCGCTGGGTGATAAATGCACTGATTTAAAAAATGGAAATTTTACCTTGAAGAGAAAATAAGGACAGTTGTATTACATTTTATGAAATCTTTAACTATATAATCGCAAGTTTTTTCCATATAAATTTGACATAATTAACTTCTCTTTTCTCTTTTTTTGTCAATGTGACATTTTTTAACAGCATTATGCAATCCTTGTGTGAGCAATCCCTGCCAAAACAATGGAACATGCACACCACATGGCAATTCCTATGTTTGCACGTGTTCACCAGGTTTCACAGGAGTTAACTGTGAGCGTAAGTACACCAGCATTCTTGTGGCGTGCCCATAAAACGTTTTTCACTATAGATTTTATGGGCCGTTATATACGTGTTTCAGATGTTCTCATCGTACCAGCTAGACAAATTTATACAAATTTTTTGCAGTTTGAGGCTACAGTTACACTAACTGGATAGCTTAAAAAAAATACTCCTACCTAAGAGTGTCACAGAAACCTATTCAATATGTGTTGATATAATTTGAAGACCAGCACGGCGCAACAGGAATTCTTCTCCTCTTTTACAGAGACCTCTCCGAAATCACCCTTCTTATCTGTGAACAGAAGTCCAGTTACGAGATGGCTTTTGTCCCGGAGCACGAGCTATCCATGGATAGACATTTTTTTGTCTCATAAATTATTGGAGAACTGAAAGTGCATAGCTACTTATATAATGTTTTTCATTATTCCTATTTTACAGTACTTTTAATTTGGGTAATTCAACCGGTAAAGTTTTGAAAAGCTCAGAAATCAAATTTTTGATTTTCACACAGTTTCTGTCAGTTACTTAATTTTGAGTGTAAACATGACTAATTATTGTTCTTTCAGTTCCTTTAGCAAATCCGTGTGATTCACAGCCTTGTTTGAATGGAGGAACGTGTGAGAATGATTTAGCCAAGAATGATTACCGCTGTTCCTGCAAAGGAAAATTCACGGGAAAAAATTGTCAAGGTATTTGATATTTGATTTATTACAGTTTTTATGGTGTATATATAAGCTTGCCTTTCTTAAAAAAAAAAAAGAACTTCAATTAATCACTTCACCAATAGTAGTTTTGTCTGGACCGGTCAGTCTGTTTTTTGGGGCAGGAATCTTATTATTGACAGCAGGAACACATTAGTCCCGATAACGTCATAGCCTTTCTCTTGATTTCACAAATTAGATGCGGCAGAATGAAATAAGGGTTCAGTCATGTTTAGGTTGGTTTGACGGTTGGGCAGGCTTCCAGATCTATGATGCCAAAGTTTATTTAAAGTTGTGAGCGCTTGTCCTTACTTGGTCATCGTGTCAGTTGTGGTAAATTCACTGAATCGTAACGTCATTACACATGCAATGTTCTCCAGCTGCCGTTCTCGCAGTTTCGTTGTCCATTGCAGACAACGAATTGTTCTAGTCCTGGTTCACTGATTCTTTGCGCCAAAATCGGGGATATTAATTTTGGCGAAGGCAAACTGTTGTAGCTCATTCTACTGACTTAACGTAATTTTTACTTACTTTATGAGTTACAATAGATTGGGGATGAAAAACGTCACTGTTTAGAAATAAAAGGCATATTGATGTAAAATGTTGTTTTTAGAGTGCAGCTGTCTTCAAGCTACTGCTTCTACCGGAGAACCTTTGGTTGCAAAATGTGACCTCGAAGGAGAATGTTACTGTCAATCTTTTCAAGGTCGACGACATCCCACCTACACAGCAGATAAAGGTTGCCAGCTTACGGGTAAGATTTGTAAGGTTCTAGTCACTCGACAATTAACGATCCACTATATGGCAATCCCTTTTTATCAAACCGTTGAGATGGTATTTTAATGAACTTTATGAAAATTTGCTAGATCTAGCTCGTGACGTCCAGACCTGGTATATCGAGAGACTGTACAACAGGTTTGTTTGTTTGCGAATACAGTCAGCTCTTTCTTAGACGGGTTCTTGTAATGAGGGCATCCAGATCGAGTTGTTCTTTTCTTCATGTTGTTCTAAAGAACGGATGAATAAACTGCATTGTCAGAAGCAAGATATGTTTGTCAAGAGAGATTTGAGTCTATCATCAAATCAACTGAAGTAGTAATACCATGAAGGTATTAATAATGGCAACCTAAGAATCTAACCATAATAACCAATATTGACTTAAATATGCACCAGGCTTTCAAATAGCGACTTTTAAATTTAATGTTGCTGCATGCTATATAACCACACCACCCTCAAGTGCAACGCACTACACTAAAATTTCCCCATATCGGCTCCACTTTATTTCTTATGCTGTTAAAGAAAATCGCGGGAAATGGTAGTAAGAACACTTTTAGGCCAGGTTAGATATCATTAATATATGAAAAATATTTATATTTAACTCTATTAACTTCATAATTTTACTAGAAAACACGGTTATTTCTTCTTACCTGTTGGAGACCTAGCGACATCTTCCTCAAATGACGTCAAATACCATTTACGCGACTAGATGTCCGGAAAAAACCGCACGAAGGTCAAGACCATAACTCTCATAGGAGTTTGGGCCTGATTTTAATGCCCTCCCCTATAATCTACTTCTTCCAACTCTCGGGTTTCTCTTGCCTTGCCAGATTCTTTTGTTTATGATTGCGTTTTGCTTTAACGAGTTGTTTAAGCCTTATAACCAAACATGTTTACTTAATGTTTAAATCCTGACTGAACATTGTTCCTCCAACTTTTGAGGTACGAGGTTCGGAGCTGCGAATCGCTATAAGATTTACTTTTCTGTGTTTTAACAATTAAGGTAATAAATTAACATTGTTTCCTTTTTGTTTAAGGTAAAGATCTATGCGAGCCTGTAAATCCTTGCAAAAATAATGGTTCATGCTTACCACAGGACGGTGGCTTATCTTTTGTGTGTATTTGTCCAGACAAATATTACGGGAAAACCTGTGAATGTAAGTCATTGTTAGATACACTAAACAATAAGCATACAAACGTACACTTACACTTCAATCGACCTTCAATTTCAAATTTTTTTTACAATGTTGTTTAACACCGTAAAGTGAATTCAAAGATTCAACTGAGACAATTCTCTAGCCTGATATTGTTAATGAAAAATCATATCCGGCAAACTTCAGTAAAATCACGCTTTACATATTATTTTGCAAGTCTTCTTTATTAAAGATTATTGTCTCAGTCAGACAGTTAATCTTTAAACGGTAGCTCAATATGTTTTAAAATTGTTTTTTTTTGTGAAAATTTTAGGCACGGAATGTCTGTGCAACAATCCATGTTTAAACAACGGAGTCTGCGTGGATATTTCCACCCACCTTGTTAAATGCACTTGTCCTAGTGGTTTCACTGGGAACTTTTGCGAAGGTCAGTAAAATTGGTTTACTCTTTAAATCATATGCTGACGACCACAATATTTTTTGTATGAAGTACAGCTAAGTCTATGTCATAATCTCTATCAAGCTCTGATATATAGCCACAGTTATTACTTCAGTGATGACATGTGTTTCACTGTGGACTAGCAAAGGCTTTACTTTCCATATTGACTTGCAAATACATTTTCTCGCCCTGCCAACAGCTGTCATTCCTACTGTTGGTCCAGGAGCATGTCACTCGAATCCCTGTGTGAATGGAGGAACTTGTGTTGATAGAGCGTTTGTGTCTTATGACTGCATATGCACCCCACAATTTACCGGACCTCATTGTGAAGGTAAATACAATCACGGCAAACGTAACTGCTTTTATTGCCATGTTCATCTGCTTTTTGTTTCATGATTATCAACAGAAATAGTCTTTATTTAGATAAAAGGATCGATTAACATAAATGTAGAAATGCCTTTAAATCACCTCCAATTTCAATTTCTTATTCATCTTCCGCCGTAACTCATCGCTTTAGCATCAAAACTATTCTTTATCTTTAAGTATGTAGTTTAGGATTTTCCAACGAACATATGTTTTTTTACACAAAAATTAACTCAGCATTGCCCACATATATTTTGCGTCAACGACTCAATTCTTCCCGGAGATTACGAGCCACTTGTATTGTACATTTAACTTGTCTCCTTTCATTCCCTTTAGTTGATAAATGTGCTGACTGTGACATCAATGCGGACTGTGTAAATGGAAAATGCCGATGCAAGATAGGTTATGTTGGAACAGGATACGCATGCGTTAAAGGTAATCTAGTTGCTACGAACTGGAGATGATAGAGCAAGAGAGTTCATCGTGCAGGCGGGACATGTCTCAGTACAAACTCTCTCATAGGCTAAGGCCTAACGTTCAACTTTTCATGAGAAGAACTAAACTGGGCGGGTTACGTTCATGAGAAGTTCGATTTCTGTATCAGTTAAGTTTGTCTCAATGAGTTTGGGTTGATCAACACATTCTATCCATCTGCTTCAGTTGGTAATGTTGTATGATTAATTTGATACTCAAGTAGTTCGACGTATGATCCAACAGACATTTAGGTGTACCCAAATTACAATTTGGTTCGTCTCATGAAAAGTTTGAAGTTTAATTTTGGTTTTATAGTGAGCAGTTATAAGTTATCATTACTTAATTCGTTCACTGCTATCTTTAGTCATATTTCTCCTTGACATGTCCCATGAAATTAAACCTCATTGGGGGACTATTGGGTATAGTGCCATGAATGTTCCACTGCTGCTTCGGACTTCGTATGTAAGGTTTTTTTGTGCACGTGCGCTGGCAATCCCAACAAAGACTAGCAGCCCTTTCTACGCCCCTGCTATGCGTATCTCTAGCGTTTATTACCTGGGCTTTGTTGCTGTTACGCATCTCTGTGGCATTTCTATGCTGCATGACCTTCGTGTTTCAGTCCAGGTTTGCATCACCGGACAGCTGATCCAAAATTGATGCACCAGCGCTCATGGCGTGCCTCAAAAACTCCAGGAAAGGCTGTGTGATGCTATACAAAGGTGGTCTTACATTAAGAAAAATAGAAACTCTGAAACTAACATTGCTAGTTTGCCGTCCATTCCTTGGGCGCTGATTTGAGGGAGAAAAAGCTAACAATGCAAACAACAACACTTTGAATAACCGTGGACTTTTAATTTCAGATGAAAAAGAGAAAGAATGCGAAGAGGTTGTGTGTCCCATTACTCAACACTGCGTCCGAGGTGTTTGTGTGTGTCTACCAGGAAACTTTTGTTAACTGGGTAAAACTATCCTGTCTTAGGCAGTTATTTGTTATCATTTTGAGTAACGTTTCGTTTAACCTAAAGGCGTCCTAAAACGTTCTGTCGAACGAGAAATGAAAGAGAGTCGAGCCTGACGTATAAGTTATAGCATTAATTGCAAAGGTTACCCTAATACAATACTTGTGTATATTAATTAGATCAGGAGACATTATTGGATCAGTGACGTCAAACGAGATTGCTGCCATTTTAGATTTCACTGATCGCTCGAACAACGCTTTTTTCTGTCAATCTGTATCAAAGATCACAATTAAACATTTCGCTACTTTTTCTGAAGAAATCGTTTGTGTGCCTTTTTTATGTTAAAAGTTGGCTCGATTTATTTCTCTCCCTCCTTATGCTCTGTGGGAAAATATTGTTTAACTTATCTTAACTTAACGGGCTAAGTGACTTTTATGTTCAGATAAAAGATATAGCTAAAACTGGAGAACGCTAAGAGATATAGCCTGCGTAGCCTAGGGGTTTTTGCTAGGAGCATTACTCAGAGGCGAAGCCGCAAAAAAGCGCGTAAAGCGCGCGCGAACGTTCCCACCTCAATTTCCTCGCGGTTTCTCTGCCCTCGCCCGCCTTTATTACTTTGCACGCCCATCCAAGACCGTCATGCTACACAGGCTATGAGAAATATTAAGTAAAGGACTAAATGCTTTTGGATATATATATTTGTACCCAAAACTGAATATCAGTAGGCAACGCAACACAAGGAAAGAACTAAAATACTGTATACACATATTAAAACTGGCGGATAGCTTTCCTTTATTTGCCCATTTCTTTTCAAATATAGAACGTTTTCTCGACTTTATAAAGCCATAAAAATTCATCTATTAGCCTTTTTTAGGCCTTTTCAAAGACCCAAAGGACAGATTTCGCTACCCTTTTATATACTTTAACAAGTAAAATCCCTACCCTTCCATACACCTGAGGCCAGAAAAAGGTACCCTTTTCGGGCGGAGCTTCCCCTTATAGGCCGCCATCATAGGGAGTCTCACCTTGACAGCAGAACCTTCTTTCGGTTTGTCGATTGCCATGAATTCTAGGAAGACTCTGCATGAATCGAGTAAGATATTTGTTGAGCATGCGCTGGATATTGTTAATATACAGCAGGGTCTAACTCAGGCATGATAGCCATACATACGTACATACATATATAACCTTTATTTTAACTCGAATTTTAGAGTAGTTACATTATGTAGCTAATATCTTCGAGGAAAAAATTAAGATATCTAAAAACTGAAAAAAATATATATTACACACAAAATAAGACAAAAATTTGTGAAAACTAATCAAGCGTATTGAGACTTTGCACACGTCGCTTAAAATCATTAAAAGTACATGCACAAATTCTTAATTCGTCGGGAAGATCGTTTCATTGCTGAGCAGTTGGTACAGCGGGCTACGTTA